TTGGCTCGGGTGCTGTGTTTGTAGTGTCATCCTCTCTGCATGAATTATTTATATTTCTTTCCCACCTCAGTACTGTATTTGGCTTGATATTGTTGCTGTTGTACATACAAGTATAGGCACATGCATTGATCTACGAGGGTTTGTGTTTGAAGCTCCAGCAACCTGTTGAGGTTCGTGTTGTTTATAAATTCGTGGTCTACGGATACAATGGTCTGGCTGGTACATCGCAGAATACTAGGACCCCTTGAACGATTCTGTCGGTCGTTCCTAAGTTCACCAATTGAAGACATGTGTGTGTCAAAATGTGTCAAAAATACAGTGTTGACAAAACGGTTGGTATCACCGCTGTCGGATATTTTGCACAAGCCAAAATTGGAGGATGCACTGTTGGCTAATATCTCTTTCTAAATAAATAAGCAGGAAATAGCGAAACCCTTGTACAAACCAACGGCACGAAATTATAGCATGTTCAACCAAAATATCAGCGACATAACGAAAACGCAAGCGACGAGCGAGAACTCAACTTCTCGTTATTTGTTATCGCCACGGACAAAACTTAGGGCAGAGAACAACTATTAGGTTGGATTTCGACAACGATCTGAGACAAAGAACTCACGGGGGACGTAAACCAAAGGACGACGAAGGAGACGCCATTGAGTATTCGTCTCGCGATATCTTGAGAAAACTGCGAAATCTGGCAAATCTGGAAAATAAAAGTGCAACTTTTAGACGACTTTTTCTGAACTGGCGCACGGACTGATATCTTTGTCTGCATGATGTGAGTCGTCGTCAGGGTAACGATCATTGCGCAACGGATTGGGTCATCACTTGAATTTTTTGAAAAGGACGCTACGAAAAAGGTGGAAAAAATTAAATTTTGCCCCTCGAGGGCCTCACTTCTTGATCCTGGATCTGGAATGATCCATTTCAAAGTTTTGGAAATACATGTACCAATAATTGCTGGAGTGAGCTTCTTCTTGCCTACCTCATCCTGCCGTGTGTATTACCGAATTAGGTCTCTCTCTTCTAGGGTCTTATATGAAGTGCTCTGCGTAGTTTGGTGCGGGGAAAATGGCTTGCGTGAGAGCTGGTGCTGTCTTGGCCAGGGCAGCATCAGAGAAAGGTTTGAATGCGCTGAATCCAGCCTTGCGTCGACCACTGAGCACCTACTCAGCTGCAGCGTTGTCCTGCAGCAACCAGCAGAGAAGACAAAACCGTCTGTATCGTGCAGCTGGGGACAAACACACGCCTGCCATTCTCACGCTCAGTACGCGTTTCGCCAGTACTGGCAGCAGTGGCAACGACGGCAGTAGCAGTTCCAGTGGAGATGGCGATGGGAAAAGTGATGCGAAATCTCCAGAAGAGCAGCCCACCGCCCCGGCGGAGCAGGACGCGGCGGCTGCCAGCGAGGCAGAGACGGTAGTGGATGGCACTACACACGACCCACACATGCATGGCTTGACCAAGGTGTCCGTACCAGATATCTTTCCCAACGTGCCAGTACTGTGCGTTTCGCGCACGCCAATTTTCCCGCGCTTTGTCAAGACAATGTTTGTAAGTGACTGCTGCCAGCCCTGGTACAGTAGTATCGGAAGTCGTTTAGGCACACAGCACTGCCGGGCGCCGAAGACCGACCAGGCTAGAATTTCACCAAGCACAGCATACCAATGTATACACGGTGACTCAACAGTGCATAGACTGTAGTACATGAAAATAAGAACGGTCTAGGCTAGGAGGCTGACCACCCCAGTTCTTTGCGGACCCACAGTACTGCACCATATCGATCTACAGAAAGTCTTACGTACACTGCAAGCGTCCCCGTGCTCTGCCGTACGTAGTTTTCGAATCACGTGGCTGCCCTTGGCAACTCTGAACGCGACAGTGTACGACCTAGGTGGCATTTTGCGCATACTCCTACTCTCCCAGCATGCTACACGCCAGTGTGCACCAATCTTTGTACGTGCGCGGTACAGGAGTCTGAACACTGTCTGTGTGAATGCATTTAGCAGTTTGCGACATTCTGACAAGCTTTCAGCACCCAGTTACGTGCATGCGGCCGGCACGGTTGACCGTCGTGTAAATACCCCCGAACATAATGTACTGTAACAGGGACCATCTTAAGTTACCGAATTGGCTAATGGTGCCAAACCTAGCTACTAACCTTGTCTACATCATGCAGAGCCGAACAAGTAAAAATCACAGTGCAAAATGTCCCTAGTGTCCCCCAATAAGTTCCTTGGCTACATATGGTCTGCTTGCATGTCGTGTAGACCAATCTTTGCGATATAGACCATTGGCTGAAATCTGTACCACTGGTTGAGTTGAGTGGATGCATGTGTGGTTTGTGTGCTGGCGCGTATGTGAACACAACTATACCTGTGTGTACCCTATATGTGTGCGTGTGTGTGTGTGTGTGTGTGTGTATGTGTGTGTGTGTATGTGTGTGTGTGTGTCTGTCTGTCTGTGTCTCTGTGTGCATTGTAGCTGCGCGATCAGCGAGTCGTAGATCTAATCACGAGGAAGTGCAAGCTGGGACAGCCGTACGTGGGTGTATTCATGAGGCGAGATGACAAGTAAGTTTTTATAATTGCTTTTGCCTATTCCCCACTAGTACCTAAATTGCTGGTCTGGTTCAAGTACTGCTCCATCAAACGACCAGTAGCTTTAGCCTTTTGGTGACCACCTACAGTCCATTCAGAAGCCGAGTAGCCATGAAACTCTGTGTAGCACCGACAATGTAACCTTGCTCCATTGCAAACTTGTGAGTACCGTGGCGATAAAGTAAGAATTTTTGTGCCGGGGAGGGGGGTGGATACGTTATACTGGTTGACGAAGGTTGATAAAGGTAAAGGGAATTTGAAAAACGAGCCGGTTTGGTCGTGACAAATGGTTCTGGGAAGGTTTCGCTGGCTCAGTCTCTCAATTGTGTGTGTGTGCGTGTGTGCACGTGCATGTTGATTGTGTTTGCAGCAACACGTCTGAGGTGATCAACAATCTGGACGAGGTTCACCCAGTTGGTGTGTTTGCTCAAGTCGTTGAGTTGCACCACAGTAAAGGTGGTCAGACTAACATCCTACTGGCCGCACATCGCAGGTAATAACATCATCACCAGATCTCCAGTCCTACTCAATGAAATCCAGTCGCGTCCCTCAAGTTTGTGCCTTGCACCATTTCCTAGCCTGGTGTCCGCAAGTCCGGGGCTGTGCAATGCCCGGCCGGCTCGTACTCGAGTGCATCGACTGGATTTCATTGAGCACCTCTGTACAATACAATGAAACCTGTCTAAGACGTCCGCTCAAGGAAAGATATACTGTAAATTTCACAATTTTCGGTACATTCGGTGCGTCTGTTTCATACCTAAAATTTCAATACACCGAACAAACACCAACACACATAATCCAATAGGGAACTGCTTCTCTGTACCGAAAATTTCTGTTCACCTAACCTAGCCTGTTGCCCTCATACCGAAAATATTGAGCACCGAAAATTTCTGAAATTACAGTCCATTTCAAAACTATAGACGCGTACCTAGGCAAAAACCGTTATGCCAGCATCTATACCACATAAAATCTGTGATCACTTTGTGCATAATTTTTTCCAAATTGGGCGTCTGTTATCCAATCCTTTAGAATCTATATGAGAGTAATTGTGGAGCGATCCCGAGCAATATTCCGAAAACTATTCTCAAAAAGTTCCAGCCAAATTTGAAATATTTCAAAAACCCTCTATAGTTTTGAAATGCACTGTAGAGTATGCGATTTGTGTACAGGTACTAGGTGATCTTATCCAGGGTTATTTAACACCCTTTGTCCTGGTTGCAGTGGTCTTTTGGCCAAGTTTTGGGACTGGTTACAGTGGTCAAGTTCTGGCCCAGTTCTGGGCCTTATCCGAGTGGCCGTCTTGACAAGTTTCAATATAATAATGATTATAGGGTTTGAAAGTTCTGCGTCACAGCCAACCCGGAGTCATGACAACGCTGACGTTCCTGATCCACTTGGATTCGGGTTTTGTATGGATTCATGCACGTTTGGGTGGTTTTCCTTGCCAGCATAGTGACCTATCCTCTGGTATTGACTGGACAGGGCTCTCCCGGTCAGGGACCCACTCCTGTTACAGAAAAACATCACACCTACGTGCGACACGAGGGGCGCGGCTGCTGCCTTGGTTTTGTTAGACATTCAGCCAGGGTTTACAAACTAGGACAGGTATGCCATGGCAAAACGTACTCGTATGCAGAACTCAATGCTTTGTGGTGTAAAGTGAGGTGCCCATTGATCACGGCTGTTGTCCTGTTGTCCCCCCCCCCCCCCCCCCCCTGCTGTACAGGATACAAATCTCCGGCGAGTATGTCGAGGAGCTTTCCCTGGATTCAGACTCCTCGGCTGCTGCCACTGCCGCTGCTTCTGTGACCGGTGCTGGAGCTGAAGGACCGGGTGCCATCACCTTTGAACCCGGCCCTGCCATTGAAATCAGCATTGAAACGCACGCACCTCCGCAACAATCTGGAGCACAAGACACGTCGTCGACAACGTCCACCGCCACTGAAGTGGAGACAACCACCGAGGTGCTGAACTCAGAAGATCATGCAGAGAAAGCGGCGGATGCCACCACAACGGTTGCCAATGAGGTGGAAGCCATTCCCACGGTGAGAAACTGTGCACGCACACACATACACGTACACGTATACATACGTATATGTACACACACGTACACACACACACACACACACACACACACACACACACACACACACACACACACACACACACACACACACACACACTCGTACGCACGCACGCACGTGTGCGGGCCCACACGCACACATACACACCAATGCTGTTGCATGTTTCTGGGTTTGTTGTGCGTACGTATATGCATGTGGGTGTGTGTTCATGAACATGCTTCAGTTAGTTTTTACCTGACGTATGTTTGTGATGCCAACAATTTGTTTCTTGTATCGTTCGCATTACTGTGCACATTTGAACATGCGAACATTTCAGGAGCCCGCCACACCCGATGAAACACAGAAGACTCCATCTGTTGTTGAAGCACCACCGTTCGGCTTTCTGACGCGTGTCAGAGGGCCGTTTGGACCGCTACCGGGTGGCAAGACTCCAGACGCGGGTAAGTATTGTATTGCCCAGCGTTCACGCCAAAGTGACATAGCGGGGCACTGTGCCCTCCTTCACTTTTTGCCCCCCCCCCCCTCTCCTCAAAATGAACGCATCACCCTTCAGAGTGCTAGTGTGTGTGTGGTACATTGTGTGTGTGTTTGTGTGTGTGTTTGTGTGTGTGTTTGTATGTGTGTGTTTGTGTGTGTGTGTATGTGTGTGCACGTGTGTTATCTGGCGCTAGTCTTGATCTATTTCATTCAGAATCAGATCCGGTATCGTTGCGATAGGACAAATCTGTGGGTGCACATCCAGTGCATTTGCAGATTTGCATGCTGCGCTTGCGACGGGCGTATACATGGGACCAAGAGTCCATAGCCCCAAGAGTGTGCAACTGGGGTCTGGCCGCTGTAGGCCCACTGCGCGGCGGAATTCCAACATTACGTCATGCCGCCCAGGCACAGAGGACAAAACTCCGCATTCCGCGGTGCTTGGAACCAGGGAATAGTACAAGCGCAACGAACGTGTACATCATTTTTGGCGTAATGTTGGAATTCCGCCGCGCGGATCTCCATGTACAGAGTTGCACACTCTTGGGGTTATGGACTCTTGATGGTACATGGGTTATGTATGTGTGTGTGTGTGTGCGTGTGTGTGTATGCGTATGTGCGCGTGCGTGCGTTGGAGTTTGTTCGTGTGTTTCTGTGTGCGCGTGCGCATTTGCGAGTTTGTATTTATGCACCTGTGTTAAAACAAATTGCTCTTCATTTTGGCACCTGACCTTTTAGAACAAAGTACAGTGGACGGTGCTGAGTCAGCTGCAGCCGGGGAAAGTCTGGGGATGAGGTTGATGAGCAGCCACCGCACATTGGCATGGTAACCACGGCTAATGTCTACCACTATCCGTACAAGCGCGACACGATGGTCAAGGTCAGTACACTCAGTACTTATAGGGGATTCACACGACGCGCAAACTCACGTGTGTGGTACTCTTTTTCCTCGTGTGACCCTAGCGCGTGCAACATCTTGATAATCTTGGTCGGGGGTCCTAGGCCCACGTTTGTGCTTTGCGCGCGTGTAAAAACAACGAGAGTACTAGAGTGTGGTACTCAAGTTACATGAGTACGAGATTTGCACGGGTCTGTTGTCTGTGTGGATCCGATGGGCAGCTTGTCCACTTTTATACAAACGTGTTTTCGTTCATTTTCATGTCGTGTGAATACCCTATTACTGTAAAGCGTGATATTTTCGCGGCGTTTTTAGTTCGCGTTTTCAGAATCTGGACAGGTTTGCGAGATTTTAATTTTGCGATTGCAGAATGGCATTCTTGCTAAACCTGTGGCATTCTTGCTAAACCTTTCATGGATCTCCTTTTCGCGCTGTCTAAATTTCGCGATTTCCACCCGGTCGCGAATTTCGCAGAAATTAGACCATGGCAATAATTTCACGGTTTACAGTATACAGGGTAGCAGTACAGCACTACACCTTGTGATGTCATGTGTTGGCCATTGCTAGTTGATGATGACATCATGCTTGGTACATAGCTAGCATGTAATGATGTCATGCTCTGCCATGGCCGCCCATGGGTGGCATGTGGTGATGTCATGCATTGTTCCATGGTCTTACGATAGAGGCCTGCATACTAGTAGTGGATAGTGCATACTCATGGCATGAGTTATGACAGTCAACTTTGTGTATAACGACACTCGGCAGGGCATCAGAAAAGTGTCCTTATTCGCGAAGTGTCGTCATACCCGAAGTCCCAGTATAATTATGTATTACAGTTGGATGTGACTTTGCTCTGGGCATGGAAACCCTGTCGTTATTCGCGAGTTGTCGTTATATCCGCAGTCGTTATTAGCGAAGTTGACTTTATGTATGCACTGTGTACAAATGCAGCCACATGCTCTACATTGGTATAATGCACCGCATATCCCTGCAAAGACATTGTTGTTCACAGTCTATGTCACAATGTGCATCTTGCACATGTACATCTGTACGTCTTTGTTTATTCTGTTCTTCGACTTTGCTTTCTACACACACATACACACACGCACACACACACACACACCGTACCTGCGCAGGCGTTATCAGCAGAGGTGCTGAACACGCTGCGTGAGATCATCGCCAACAGCCCTGTGTACAGAGACACACTCAGTCAGGTGATTGCCGATGGAAAGTTTGTCGTCGGTGACAACCCAGCACACTTGGCTGACTTTGGTAAGTTCTCAAGGCGGAGAGAGAGAGACAGAGAGAGAGAGAGAGAGAGAGAGAGAGAGAGAGAGAGAGAGAGAGAGAGAGAGAGAGAGAGAGAGAGAGAGAGAGAGAGAGAGAGAGAGAGAGAGAGAGAGAGAGAGAGAGAGAGAGAGAGAGAGAGAGAGAGAGAGAGAGAGAGAGAGAGAGAGAGAGAGAGAGAGAGAGAGAGAGAAAGCTGCTATCTGCTGGCGTTGCTACAAGAGAACATCTGTGGGTGCACATGAGGGTCTGAGTGTCGATGCTGCTGCGTGTGTACTCTTTTGATTTGTCTGTGTTGTTTTTTTGTTGGCGATGTGGTGTGGTGTGATGTTGCATGTTTCCTGTGCATAGGAGCTGCCCTTGCCAATGCCGATCCAGCCAAGCTGCAGGAAGTCCTGGAAGAGAGAACGGTAAGACGATTTGCGTTGACGACTTCGAAGTCCAAGCGGGGGCATGGAGTTTGTGCTGAGGAGCGGATGCGTTGATAAAGTGTTTTGAACGGAAGTAGGAGCGTGTAGTACATCCCAGTTCGTTTTACTTCATCGCTACTGCTGTCCAGGGTATCTCTAGTGACCACCTGAGGGCGCATAATAGCAGACTCTTAGTAGATAGACGAGTGGTTTTTCCTGTGCTGTTTTGAGGTGCACTCTTGTGGGGACAGTGACTGTGTCGTCCTGTTTGGGCTCGTCAACACAGCTCCGAGGACAGAGACTCATCTGGTCGCATTGTCCAGTGTCACTGTCTGTTCAACAATGCATTTTTGTAAGGAAGTGTGAGCAGTGCCAGAGTGCTTGGAATGCAGCAATGCAATGTTATGTAGCACTGTTCCGGCTGACGGCAACTTGTATGTTGCATGCCTAGCATGGTCGCTCTTTGAACACGCGCGATCTCTTGTGCATATGTGTGTGCATGTGTGTGAGTCTGTATGTGTGTGTGTGTGTGTGTGTGTGTGTGTGTGCACAAGCGTGTGTGCGTGTGTGTATGTGTATGTGCACGCATGCTGTGTTGTTTCCTCTTCTAGATCCCCAAGCGACTGGAGTTGTCTCTGCAGCTTCTCAAGCAGCAGCTGGAGGTCTGCCATCTGCAGCAGAAACTCGCTAAAGACGTACGTTTACACGTTGTACATGTAGAGTCAACCTCGTTAACCTCTTTAGCACGACGCTACCTGAGCGCGCCCCACGACAACACCTGTAAAAGTCGCATTTTCCCATGAAAGTACTAGCTGCTCAAGGATCGATAACTTTACCTTTCCTTAGACGAATTCCACGATCTTGAGCTTCCTGGAAAGGTCTTGAGACGAGTGACAAACTGGTGTCAAACCTAGCTCGGAGCGAAACCAAAACCCCGTGCTACAGTCTGGCAAACTTCATCCACGCGCTCGACAGACTTGAGCACAGCACGGCCAAGACTAACCAAGCTCAAATATTCAGCTGCCATTTCGGTCTCCTTGCTCGTATCGAGCTCAAATTTTTGTGAGGACTCACTGGATCCACTACCATCATTTGAATCTTGTTTCCATGGCAGCAGGTAGCGCACAAATGATCCATGATGGAAAATACGCGTTCTGCAGACTGCGCAAAAAAATCGAGTTGAAATTTGCCGTGTCGAGTCGCATATCTCAACAACCGGTAGTAGCATCGCTTCGGCGATTGTTTCTATCGCCAGCTGAGAGTTTTCTCTTGCAGATACATGTTTCGATTGTGAGAATCGACCAAGTATTGAGTGAGTTACGATAGTTTGAACAAGTCACTATGGACTCAACACGGACCCCACGACTATGAGATGCAGGTTCACTGTACAGTGTACAGCGCGCGTCGTACTAGTACGACGGCCGTGGGGCATGCAACTCATGTGCGTCGTACTAGTACGACGCTCGCGCTAAAGGGGTTAATAACAACCTTGGATAAAACAACACTATCTTCAGACCAAGTAACCAGTTGACTGCTTACTTTTAACCTTGGAAATAACAACAACTCACGAATAGCAACCCAACTGACGCTTTATCGCATGCGCTGGTGTTTTTCAAAAACTGCCACGCCCTTCATCTGTTTGTGTGCGTGTGTGCGTGCGCGTACGTGTGTGTGTGTGTGTGTGTGTGTGTGTGTGTGTGTGTGTGTGTGTGTGTTGGGTGTTCGTAATGCTTGCCTGCAGGTGGAAGAGAAAGTGTCGGCCACTGAACGCAAGTATCATTTGAACGAGCAGCTGAAGATCATCAAGAAGGAGCTTGGCATGGAGGTATGTATGATGGTGGTGTTGTGTGCACTGTGCTAGTTTATGACTCATGCTCTAATGTACACATTGCTATCTATGTTGGGTCTATCGGCTGTTGCTGCTGCTGCTGCTGCTGCTGCGCGTGCTGCTTGCTTGCGGCTGCCAATGCAGTGTGTGCTGCGTAGATCGCGTGTTTCATCTCTCTCTCTCTCTCTCTCTCTCTCTCTCTTTCATAGTCCATCTACCGATCTACCCACTCATTCAACACAACACAACGCTTGTTTTCCTTTCCCCTGTACGTTTGCCAATGTAGAAAGATAACAAGGAGGCACTGTCCGAAAAGTTCAAGGCTCGACTCGAGGTTAGCATAATTATGTGTGTGTGTGAGACTACGTGTATTTATGTGTGTTGTCTGTGTACATGTGTCTGGTGTGCTTCTGGCATCTCTTCTTGCACTCTTTCTTATTAGCACAGGTGCTAATGCTTGTGCAATACTATCCGTTTTGGTCCGTTTTCATTGTCAGTCCTTTCTCCGAGATGAGATTCACATCTTGATTTTGTATGGGGGTGGCTTCAGGACATGCATTGCTCGATGGAAAGAGGTTTCATTTTTGTTGTTGTCGTTGCAGGGGCTGACCGTTCCCGCTGAGGTTCAGAATGTGATTGATGAAGAGCTTAACAAGCTGTCCTTCCTCGATGAAAACTCCTCCGAGTTCAGGTACTGGTGATGCTGTGTGTGTTGTTTTCTCGTAACTGAAGCGTGCAGTTCACTCAGAAACAGTTGAGCTCTGACTTTTCTAGAGTATGCTTGATAGTCAACTTAAAAACATCGTTGTACTCATAAGTTTTCTTGAGGCTCTTATAGCTTCGCCCGTAGAAAATAATACTTGGATGGGCACACCTATTTTCACAGAGCCGCAAATCTGACCCAGTTCCATCGATGCACGACGTAAATTTGTGATGCTAAGCCTCGTCTCACTACAAGCAACAGATAGGACTTTTCATAGGACTATGCACACCGGAGGATGCACCCAATTTCCTGAGAGTGCTCAACACCACCGCACAGGCAGAGCATAATACACAGAACAACAAGGACAATCAAGGCTAGTTAATCGCTACCCTGAGTTTCATGCTTACGCAATGAAACTAGCAACAAATAAGCATTGCTTGCCTTGTTGTTCTGTGTAGGACTATGCACACACAGTTTTTCTTTCCGGAGGAAGTAGCATCGCCGACAATTGTCAGCAGATAATGTTATCAGACAGCTAATGATATAAGCGCCCGTGCTTTGTTGTGTGTGTGTGTGTGTGTGTGTGTGTGTGTGTGTGTGTGTGTGTGTGTGTGTGTGTGTGTGTGGGTGGGTGGGTGGGTGTGCCTGTGTTTGTCTGTCTGACTCTGTCTGTCTGCTTGCCTTACATTCCTATTCTTGTTCGTGTGTTTTTGAATATGTAGCGTGTCCCGTAACTATCTCGACTGGTTGACGGCTATCCGCTGGGGTCACTTCACGGACGAGAACTTTGAGATCCCGCGTGCCAAGACGACGTTGGATGAAGACCATTACGGCATGAAGCCTATCAAGGAACGCATTCTGGTAAGCTTATGGGGTACGCGTAGGGCTGTACTCACGCTGTTGTCCACCGGCTATCTGGGATCTCTTTGTTTGCGTTGGTGCTTCACGTGCGGTTGACGTTTTCTGGCTTGAATTACCCCCCCCCCCCGCACACACACACACACTGGTCTTTCCAGTGCTACCGTATTCCTGGGTGTGGTTATTCTTTCTACCGTATTTTCCGGAGTATAAGCCGCGCTTTAAACACTTGTGATTCTTCCCTAAAACGTCAGTGCATCGGCTTTTGCTACAATGGTCCAACCAACGGTGATTTACAGCGTAGATGTCTGTGTTTCGTGACAAGAGATCTTGGCGTGGCGTATACTCCAGTGCGACTTATACTCCGTAAAATACGGTGTGTGTATGCATGCATGTCTTCATTTATTATCGGCCCGAAGTTTGGGCTTGTCTACATTTCCTGTGCTTGTGTGTGTGTTCTGTTGTATCTTATTGTCGGTGTGTAGGAATTCATTGCAGTTGGACAGCTACAGGGTTCAGTCCAGGGCAAGATTCTCTTCTTCGTCGGCCCGCCAGGTACGCACGCCTTTTGTCTGTGTGTGTGTGTGTCTGTCTGTGTGTCTGTCTGTGTGTCTGTCTGTCTGTTTGGGTTATCGACTGGCTCTGACTCTGTACGTGAGTGTAGCCTGACTCACCACACTGGTCTAACCGTCTTGGTACTCCAGGAGGACCAAGTGGAAAGGCAGGTATAGTGGCTGAGACCGGTCAGATGCATAACACACAGCCTTTTAAAGCTACCACAACCAACTGAAGATGATCCAACCAATATTATGCAAGGAAACGCAATTACAATGAAACCTCGCTAAGAAGACAAGCGTTTGCTTATTGCTCCCTTGGTGTTTGTCCTAAAAAGGTTTGGCTGTACTTCCAGGGGCGTCTGACACGGTACGGTCACCACGGTATTGACCGTACCACTCTTTGCCTCAGGTGCCCCGTGAAACGATAAAATACACTGATTTGGGCAAACAAATTCCAAAGATTTCGGCTCGGCCACCCCTCCCCCATGAGTAAATTGCGCTTCAGGTGTCTGACCGCACCACACTAAATTACCTTCCGACGCCCCTGACATCAGAAGTACAATATGTATTCACACTATTTTTATGTGCCATTCACAAACGAAACATAGTCCATTGACTGCAGAGTCTTTGCAGAGTCTTTGCAGAGTCTTTGCAGAGTCTTCTGACCATAGCAGGACATCTATCCAACATTGGTTCAATAGTGCTTTTGATATGTCTGCTTGCTGTGCTGGCCTTATTGTCCTGCTCTTTGACGCCAATGTCTAGAGTTGCCCGGCTTTTGAATTGCATTTTTGTTGTTTTCTTCGTTTGTGTGTGTGTGTGTGTGTGTGTGTGTGTGTGCGCGCGCGTGCGCGCGTGCGTGCGTGTGTGTGTGCGCGTGTGTAGGTGTTGGCAAGACGAGTATCGCACGTTCCATCGCCCGCTCTCTCAACCGAGAGGTATGTTGCTGCCCTTGTCCGTATTGTGTTTATTGCTGCTGCCGTTGCCTCTTGTCTTCCCGGTGTTGCTACTTCTGTGTTGGTGTTGCTGATGGTGCTGTTGTGTGTGTGTGTGTGTGTGTGTGTCTGTCTGTCTGTCTGTCTGTCTGTCTGTCTGTAGTATTTCAGATTCAGCGTTGGAGGCATGAGTGATGTTGCGGAGATCAAGGGTCACAGGTATGCGTCTAAGAGACTGTATTGATGGTTGCATCTGCCACTGGTCGAGCCTTGCCCGGGATGACTGGTGTTATGAGGGGTTTTCTGTTCGTATGTGCTTACATGAGAATTTTCATTCAACCTGGGTTGAAAATCTGTACGATGGAAAACATTTTAACCCTTTTAGTTTACCGTTTTAGGTATTTGTACAGCAAAAACCGACCGCCATTAAGGACGTTTAGCAACGCGAAAGTTCGAAAGAAAGTTCGAGTCTGGGAATGAGTACAGAAACAAAGGTCGAAACTTCGAAAACTTGGACGCGAAGTTGCAGTGATTTGCGAAAGTAACTTTCTCTTTTCTCGGTACGCATTTCACTACAGGGAGTGGTAATTTTACAGCCCCCTGCTTGAGACTGAGCTGCATAAACGGTACGGTACTATAAGATTCAAATAGCTTCGAGAAAAAGTCGTTTCGCATTGCTAAACCTCACAAGTTTTCTTTTTCGAAATAGATTTTCGCGAAATATCGCCACCACGAAAAGTTCGAATTTTCGCATTGCTAAACGTCCCTATTGTTCATGCCGTAACTTTTTTATTTTTCACTTTTATTATGTACAACACAGGGTGATTCTGAAAAAAACCTCAGGAATGCGATGCAACAACTTTCAAGTCCAGAAACGAACAAAAATTTCACTATTTAGCACTAATAATTATTAGGATTTATTGCCGATCGGGCAAACTGTTGCAATATGCAATAAATCAGATCCTTGCACTGGAGTGGCTCCCTCAGGTAAGTGGATACCGGGTTCGTTCTCTGGGTGGAATGCAGGAGTGTTACCAGTCACAGCGGTGTCAGTATTTTCCCAAGTGTTGCAAATATCGACTAGTGCAGGTTGCACCGCTGGCTGTACATAGTACCTGTACACCACAACCTCTACCGTGACCACAGCCAATTCCACTGCCGAATCCTCTCTCTCTCTCTCTCTCTGCTACGTCCCCTTCCACCATTAGTAGCACCAAGAGTAGATAAACAAGAGTGTGCAACTCCGGATCTCTCCTGCACAATCTGCAGATACCCCCCCCCCCGGCCGAATTTTTTGTTGACGTCACCTTTTCTCAGAAGAACGCGCATTTTGCCGCAGAGCAGTGTGAGAGCACGTGCTGGGCGCCGACCTTGTAGTGTAAAACCGGCCAAGAGCACGAGGGAAAACTTTCCGAAAGACTCGCAGCGCGTGCGTCGTCGAAAAGATTACGTCAACAAAACATTCCGCCTTGGGCCTACCCATCCGCGAGTTGCACACTCTTGTTTATCTACTCTTGGTAGCACTTATCTCAGCGACACTGTCGCCGTCTGTGACATCCATGTCACTCTCACTGGCGCTGCTTTCACTCGCCATGTCATCGTCGCTATCGTCTTCAGAATAAATATTTTCAACAGGATCGTCTGGCTCCACAAACTCATCTTCGCTGGATGAAGCGGCGACAGGGTCGTCAGGAAGGATATCCAGAAGCGAAAGAGCTTGCTCCGTATCCATGGCTTGTACAGCAGGGCAGACAGTCGCGAGGCCAGCTCAAGCAAAAGTCGAAAACATCTGCAGACAATACCAAAAGTCGCAGGGTACGCACCTTTCCCAAAGCGCTTTTTTCAAGTCGCAATTTCCGCGATATTTTATATTGCATCACACAAAAAAATTGTTGGCACCCTCTGCGAATACATCTTGGCTACAAGTAGGGGAAATCCCAGCTCTCTGCGGTGAACCAGTCCAGCGCTGTGCACATAGAAGTCATCGACCGCGAGCAGTCGAAATTTGTACGTACAAACGGTAAAGGGTTAATAGGAGGGTGTTTGCATGAAGACAGTTGACCCAGGTCAATTACTGATATGTCGCCAAAAGTCCACTTCTAGACTCCTGTATGGTGACGTGAATGCTTTCGCGTGAAATTTGCCTGTGACTGTTTGTTTGTGTGTCAATGTGTTGTATTGTGTGTTCAGACGTACTTATGTTGGCGCCATGCCAGGAAAGCTGATTCAGTGCCTGAAGAAGACTAAATCCTGCAACCCAGTTGTGGTCATTGATGAGGTAAGCCTTCTACCCCCCCCTCTCTCTCTCTCTCTCTCCCTCTGTCTGTCTGTGTGTCTGTATGTTCGTCTGTCTGTCTGTCCGTCTGTCACCATTATTGGTATTATTTGCATTTCGAAATCAAGTATTTTCAGCTGTGGTGACTAGATCCATCGCTCACTTGTAGGGCCCAGGGTACATGCTCGAAGCTTATCTTTCTCCACGTGTTGTAGCTGAAGATGATACGACAATCATGTCATGATTATGCTAACAATCATCCCTCAGCTACCCAGGCAGTCCGGGACAATGCATGTACAGTCGGCCTACCCTTATAACGATATTACCCTTATAACGATATTTGTCTGGCAAACCAAATCACTCCATTGACTTGTGTATACAATGCCTTACCTCTATAACAATATTGCTATGACGATATTACCCCTATAACGATATAAAATGGGCTGACCAATCGACATTTTCCATTTTATAACAATACCTAGCAGGGAATATGTAGAGCCTACTATCCAGGTAGGGCAAGCTTCACTTGATAAGTCGCTGGGACATGACGAAATGCAATGGGGGCACCAGTGGGCACCTTGCTGTGTACATGATGTGCATGTATGTCAGTTTTTTATGCTATGAAGAGTGTAAAAAAAGAACAAAATCCATGAATTATGACGTATGTGTATGAAACGAACCAGTTACCCCTATAACAATATTACCCTTATTTAAACAATATTTCTTGGTGTGACGCAAATATCGTTATAAGGGTAGGTCGACTGGACCTTTGAAATACCTGTAACTACCGAAAACCACCCAATATTTGCGTCACTAGAGTTTTGCCCTCTCTCAGAACCAGCGAGTTTACGATGGGAAATGTTCGCGGAGCACTGTGGCCACGCATATTATAATAATACAGTCAACTTCGCTTATAACGACATTCGGCGGGGCATCAAAACGGTGTCCTTATTCGCGAAGTGTCGTTATACCCGAAGTCCCATTTTATGTATTACAGTGGGATGTGACTTTGCTCTGGGCGTGGAAATTCTGTCGTTATTCGCGAATTGTCGTTATATCCGCAGTCGTTATTAGCGAAGTTGACTGTATACCCACTGTTGAAGCTTGCTTTCACAATGGTTAATATTTGCGTGCTGCTCTTCTCGCGAAATTAGCAAACATGAACACGTCGCAAACATAGGCAGTTTGCAGTATGAATCCCGCATGTTTTGAAGGTGTAAGGCCAGATTTATTTGCCAAATGACATCACTATTTCCAAGAAAGTATTTATTTTTCCCGCTGAAATTCGTCCAAAGGGTGCTCGGTAGACCGTAGTATCCCTAACTTTGGTGTCAGGATAACTGGGTTTCAAATTCAAACACGTGTGTGTCCCGCGTCTGCACAGTTACGCCTTGCCCATGTTCTTTATTGCATCCGGCCTTTTCTCCCTTGCTTTCTCACTGTGGTATGTCGTTATTTTTGCTTTTGGTTCTTTCTTCTTTTTTTGGTTCTTGTCACTGAAAAGCCTCCTGAAGATGGGCCTGGCCTGGAAATTTGGATTTTATGTAATTTTAAAATTATTTTTGGAAGAATTTGTAGCCAAGAGACCGTTTTTGGGTATTGGTGTGTAACTATGTGAAACATGAACTGTGGCTACAGTGGAGTCTGCACACCCTTAGGAATGTGTCACTATAATTATATCTTATAAATCTTTGCTCTCATATTGATGTTGTCTTCGTTGTCACACTGATTGTCGCACACGCTGTTTGACAGGTGGACAAGGTGGCTCACAAGAGTGTGCACGGAGATCCGCAGTCTGCTCTCCTGGAAGTGCTGGACCCGGAGCAGAACAACTCCTTCCTGGATCACTATCTCGATGTTCCCGTCGATCTCTCCAAGGTAAGACTGAGTGTGTCTGCTCCAGAGCCGGGTCAGCCAGTCTTGTAGTGACCCGCCTGGGGTGTGTGTGTGTGGGGGGGGGGGGGGGTACTTGTAGCTTATGTGGTCCAGTAGCGCATGCGCTTGCCTGAGCAGATCTTGATGTCCCGAGTTCGAAACCACTTGGCGGCTGTGAGTAGGGTGTTTTGTGCGATCTCGAACGTGGCCTTGCATGTGTGTGTGTGTGCGTGTGTGCGTTTGTCTGTGTGTGTGTGTGCGTGTGTGTGTGTACGTGTGTGTGTTTGTTTGTCTGTGCGTGTGTGTTTGTCTGTGTGTGTGTGTGTGTGTGTGCGTGTGTGTTTGTCTGTATCAGATCTTATTCATCTGCACCGGCAACTCTATTCCACCTGAGTTCTCCACGGCTCTGCTAGACCGTATGGAAGTGATCGAAGTCTCCGGATACATGGCACATGAGAAAGTGGAAATTGCTAAGGTACGTGCTATCACGCATACTTGCACAACCAGACATCTTGGCAAGCGAATGGGCCGAGTTCTGCATGGCCGAGTTCTGCATAGCCGGAAATCTTGGCTGGTCCAATCGGCCAAGTGTTGCATAACATTACTTGGTCCGCATCAGCAATATTGTCGCTTATCTTTCAGCTTTGTTTTTATGTCGCCATTGCTCACTTGGCAGCCCATTTCATCCCAATATTGGTTAGTCAGTTAGTTTACTAGTACCTGAAAGGTCTAGCTAGATTTCGAGTGGATTTCGAGAGCGACGGGTGGGTGATTCTGATTGACACAGAGCCGCATCAAAATAGATTATCTTGTCACACTGCGCAGGCAAGAGCAGCGCGAAGCCCAAGAAAGTAATCGGCTCCTCGGAATCAGTTCCATCTTGCAAAACGGCCCAAGGCCACTCACCTCAGGGATCGTTCGCCAAGCCGAGATCGCAGTTCCCTCACCTCCAGCTCAACGCTCGGTGTATTCAGTGCATCGTGGAGATTTGCAAGTACTGTACGCGTCGTCGTCATTCAAAATAAATCTTGCAAAGAAGGGCGACTGATTTGAACCACACAGGCAGTCGTGCTGCCCACGCAAAGTCCTATAGAGAAGGCGACCGTCACGATCGACTTCCCTTTAGAAAATAGCCAGGCAGCGGAGAGGAAGAGAGATGAGCTTGCGAAAGCGAGAGTGTCGATTCCGAGCAACAATTATTTGTCACCAGCACCGAGAGTAGCGACGAGGAGGACCAAAAAAAGTATGAACCCCTCCTTGGACATTAAATTCCTTGTGGCCAGTTGTCATTCTATACCTTACCTTCCACCGTACCAAGTTTTATCATCTCAAGTGCACGCGTTGATGTCCAAAGTCTAAGTTCAAATTGTCGAAAGATAAGCGACAGTATTGCTGACGCAGACCAAGTATGATTACTATACAACTGGCATTGCCCTGTAGGAACCTATTTTGATTGGTCATCGACACATAATCCTGGTTTCAGTGGTAACACACCAGGGTATACTTTAGTTCTTGGCTTTGGTACACGCCTTAGATCAAGAGAGGTTTATGTACTCATGCTTACACTTGACAGGAATCTAAAGTGTTTCTGCTGTAACTCTGAGTTTCACGGTTTTAACCGATCATCAGACCCTACTAGGCTCTGCACCTTGGTGTATCTCAATGAGCACTGTCACGAGCAACCACAACTCCCTCCGAGTGTACTCTTGCTTATATGACTAAAAAGCTGGTACACGCCTAGATGTTACTCAGGCTTGTACAGCGTTAAGGGCCAGGTTTTATTCACAGCTTTGTGGTGTGCTGCTATAGGTGGGTGTTTTCTTCTAAATATTTATATTGTTTTGTTTTGTCGTGGCCGTATCATGTTGCTGCTGCTGCTGTCGTCGCCGTTGTTGTTGTTCTTGTTGTTTTCAGCGCTACCTGATGCCAAAGGCTCGCAAGGACAGCGGCATTGAGGAAGGTCGTACCACCATTGACGAGGATTCCATCAGCACTCTGATTCGCGCCTATTGTCGCGAGAGCGGTGTACGCGGTCTGCAGAAGCAGATAGAAAAGGTACTGGGGACGTGGAAAGTGTAGAGACGGTTATGCTCACACACGGCACAGAGCACCACGCATCATTCGTTGCAACTAATAATTTCATGCCCATAGGCAATCTAGTTGTCTGATGATTGCCTATGTATGGGCATGAAATTATTAGTTACAACGGATGATGCGTGGTGCTCTGTGCCGTGTGTAAGATAGCTCTATTCGAATGAATATTGAGCACTCTACCGAACCAGAGGACTCTGATTTGGAGATGGTTATGCTCTGCAGCTGCAGCAACACACTGCTTGCCATGCTTGCTGCTCTGCCGCCTGTCTGAGTGTAGTGATGCTGATGGCTACAGTCATGCTGTTACCGTGCAGCCATGTATCGCATCATTGTAACCGTGTGCGTGTGTGTGTGTGTGTGTGTGTGTGTGCGTGTGTGTGTGTGTGTGCGTGTGTGTGTGTGTGTGTGTGTGTGCGCGTGTGTGTGTGTGAAGAAAAAAAAGAAAAAAAAAAAAAAGAAAAAAAGAAAAAAATGAAAAAGACCAAAAAAGGGATTCACTGGCCAGAAAATGTCACTCCAAATAGCTGTATGGTGTAGACCAGGCTGAATAGTGACAGTCAATTCTTCAGCCTTGCAAGCTGTTGAATGGTGTAATCCCAGCACAAGTTGCTATGGCTTCTGCCGTAGCATTGCTATCATCGCCTCCGGCGATGGGCGTCAAAGGTCAAGGTCAAGGTGTGTGTGTGTGTGTGTGTGTGCGTGTGTGCGTGTGTGTGTGTGTGTGCGCGTGTGTGTGTGTGCGTGCGTGCGTGTGTGTGTGCGTGTGTGTGTGTGTGTGTGTGTTTCTGTTGTATAGATCTACCGCAAGGCAGCATACAAGATCGTGGAGAAGCTTCCGGAAACCAGTGAGGTAGTATCGGTGTCCGATAAGAACTTGTCCGACTTTGTCGGCAAGCCTATCTATACGTCAGATCGATTGTATGATACCACTCCACCCGGTGTGGTCATGGGCTTGAGCTGGACATCGACTGGTGAGTTTCAATGACTGGTGATTATTGCCTCTGTGTGTTTGTGTGCGTGCGTGTGTGTGTGTGTCTGATTCTCTGTCTGTCTATCTGTCTGACTGTCTGACTCACAGTCTGGCTGTCTGACTGTCTGATTGTCTGACTGACTGACTGACTGACTGTCTGTCTGACTCACTCACTGTCTGACTGGCTGGCTGGCTGTCTGTCTGTCTGACTGGCTGGCTGGCTGTCTGACTGGCTGGCTGGCTGACTGTCTGACTGACTGGCTGGCTGACTGGCTGTCTGACTGGCTGTCTGACTGTCTGACTGTCTGACTGACTGTCTGACTGACTCACTCACTGTCTGACTGTCTGTCTGTCTGTCTGACTGACTGACTGACTGACTCACTGTCTGACTGACTGACTGGCGGACTGTGTTTGGGTGTCATCATGTGTGTGTCTGTATGTATGTGGGTGTATGTATGTGGGTGTGTGTGGGTGGGGGTATGTGTGTACATATGTGTCTGCATGTGAGCACGCTCGCATGTATGTAAATGTGTCTATGGCGACACTGTTCAACTTGGCCATTTCCAGTAAGCTAGACTAGGTCAACAACATTCATCAGCTACTCTCCTTTGATTTGAAAATATTCAACGGCTGCTCTCCCTATGTTTGAAACTTCAGCGGCTGTTCTCAGTTGGTGTGTGTATGTGTTGCCATGTACATGTACAGCACTGCTCAATGAAATCCAGTCGAGTTTTTCAAGTACACGCCACCGGGCATTGTGCAGCCCTAGACCTGCGAACACTGGGCTGGGAAAAGGTGCACATTGCCAGCTTGACTCTGGCAACTGGATTTCAGTGAGCAGCAGCACTGTACTTGTATCACTCTCTATACCAAACTCATTCTTATGTGAACTCTGTCTCTGTCTGCCTGTGTATCTGTCTGTTTGTTTGTGTGCTGCTGCTGCTGATGTTTGTTGCTGTTGTTGTTGTTGTCATCGTCGTCGTTGCTGCTGTTGTTGTTGTTGTCATCGTCGTCGTTGCTGCTGTTGTTGTCGTCGTTGTCATCGTGTCCGCTGTTGTGTCTATCAGGTGGTGCCCCACTTTACCTGGAGATCACCAATCGCTATCGTGGCTCAGAGGGTACCCAGGGAAGTCTGATCACCACCGGTAGTCTGGGCCAAGTGCTGCAGGAAAGTGCCAGCATTGCCTACTCGTACTCGCGGGTAAGCGGCATGATGTAGCCTGCCTCTCTCTCTCTCTCTCTCTCTCTCTCTCTCTCTCTCTCTCTCTCTCTCTCTCTCTCTCTCTCTCTCTCTCTCTCTCTCTCTCTCTCTCTCTCTCTCTCTCTCTCTCTCTCTCTCTCTCTCTCTCTCTCTCTCTCTCTTTCTTTCTCTCTCTCTTTCTCTCTCTCTCTCTCTCTCTCTCTCTCTCTCTCTCTCTCTCTCTATCTCTCTCTCTCTCTCTCCCACGAGCACAGGTTTCTTACATGTAAGCTTCTTGGTGTATATTTGTTGACAGTGGTGATGTAATCTCTCTGCTGCTGTCATTCTCACTGTATGTCTATCTGTGTGCTGGTTGTCTCTAGGTGTACGCCATGCAGCATTTCCCAGAAAGGATCAATGACTTGGTCACATCAACTCTGCATCTTCACTCTCCACAGGTATGTTATGTTTAGCAACAATTGTACGTGCTTGTGCTGCTGCTGCTGCTGCTGCTACTGGTTGGTGTCCTGATGATGATGCTGATGCTCTTTGTGGTGTTAGTGGCGGTGTGTGTGTGTGTGTGTGTGTGTGTGTGTGTGTGTGTGTGTGTGTGTGTGTGTGTGTGTGTGTGTGTGTGTGTGTGTGTGTGTGTGTGTGTGTGTGTGTGTGTGGAGGGGGGGGGGGGGGGGTCAATTCATCAGCCTTGCAAGCTGTTGAATGGTGTAATCCCAGCACAAGTTGCTATATCTAACATAGCTGTTCGCTATCATCACTTCTGCGATGGGCAGGTCTGAGGTCTGAGGGGGGATGGTGGTGATCTAGGACAACAGAGGCATCCTAAGCAACTACCTTCTCCTGTCAGCATGATTCTCCTGTCCGTTGATGCTAATTTATGCTTAGGTTTCACTGTGTATCCACTGTATCTCCCGGCATGTGTGTAATGCATGCTGCATGCTGTATGTAAGCAGCTTGAATGCTTCGTTGCATGCTGTGGATACAGTATAGCTGGTCTGTGTGCTGAGTGCATTGAACAGTGTTACCACCGCCGTCGACGCCGCAGCAATGCCTGGTTGTGAGTTTGCTGGAGAAACTTTGTGAAAACCCTCTTTTACTGGCAAACCGTACACTGTGGGTGAATGTAGTGCAAAACTGGTGAAGAAATCAGCAGGCCTGCCGGAAGCGGTCACTTTGGTCAGGTTATCACCGGACCAACTTTGTAGCTACCAACACATGTTTACTACTGAGGGGGGGGGGGGGGGGCATCATGTCCCCGCCACTTATATTATACACAAACTGTGTGAAAGACTATGGTACGCTGGCCTCAAGCGAAGGTCCCTTGTTCGAGTCCTGGTGGTGATAGTCAATTTTTCTTCAGATTTTCTCCAGTTTGCATCTTTCCCTCAAACCAATGAATTAATACGTATGATTTTCGAATGTTAATCACTGTTTTATGTTATATTGTGTTTATAAGAAGAAAAGAGTACCTCTTTTTTGGTCCTCTTTTCTTCTGATAAATTAATCCTTGGCTCTCCACCCGAGTCTAATTATATTGTGTTGTGCTGTATTTTGTTAGGGTGCTGTACCGAAGGACGGTCCATCAGCCGGTGTGGCCATTGTCAGCGCCCTGCTGTCGCTTGCCCTCAACCAGCCCCTCCGACAGAACACGGCCATGACGGGCGAAGTGTCGCTCAAAGGCAAGGTACTGCGCGTCGGCGGCATCAAGGAGAAGGTGCTGGGAGCTCGGCGGGCCTCAGTCCAGACCATCGTACTGCCCGAGGAGAATCGCTGCGACTGGGACGAGCTGGACGAGGTTGTGCGCGAGGGCATCAAGGTGCACTTCGTCACGCAATACTCCGAGGTATTCCCCATCGTGTTCGAAGACCGCGCGGACGCCGTGCCGTACGTGAGTCCACGCGACACTGACGACAAGAAAGCTGCCGATGAAACAACTAAGACTGCTTCTGGAACGACGGCGACGAGTAGTAACGCATCTGGTGAATGGTTCTGGCAGCGCATGTTCAGATCGCCACCCAGCAGTCAAGATCGAGCATAGCGGTCTGATGTAGAGAATTTTAAATGCTTGAACGCACTTGATGTCACGGAACACGCACAGCTGAGCTTTCCGATGACAATGCTTTGGATGCACGGCTGACTGCGGTCGTGTGATATGCTGTGGATACACCGAGCCTGTGACTGAGGTCATGTGACACGGTAGTATTGCTCTCATAGATATGCTTTGTCACAAGCTATTATCATCCCGGCCAATGACGATCTGCCGGTAAAGTACAGCAACATCCCTCATTTGTTCGCTCTGTTTTGCTGTGCGTCAGGTGTTTAGTCCGTATCACCCCGGTTGCAAGCAATCTTCCCGGCATCACCGTGGTTACTAGTGGTATGCACAGGGTTACCATGGCTGCCAATAGTGCACTCAGTGTTACTGTGGTTGGTAGTGTAGTGGTATGCCTGCATCACTATCACCATGACTACCGACGGTGTACCCAGACACACAGTAGCAGATCGCGTTGACGGGTGCGACTCCAGACGTATCCGATCATTGCTTGAAGACAAATCTCGAGTCTGCTCTCGAATCGCCGACTATACCATAATATACAGCAAAGCTGCGAACGGTGCTTGTACTCGTTGCGCTTCACGTCAGAGAGATGTCCTCGTACCTTTACAGTCCTAAGTGTTGTTGTGGAGCACATGTGCAGCGGCATATGTGTGTGATGATGCCGTCCAAGCTTGGCTAGCTTCTCGCAGCAGCGACGACGTTCTTCAGGAAAGGAGCCGAGCTGCTTCTCCTGCGACGTCGTGTTGGGTCCGTGCCTCGGTTGGATAAACGTTTCCATTATTTCTTCTAGTGTCCGTGCTACCACTGCCGCTGCAATGTGTTAGCGTAGCCGTTTTCTAATTTGCTGGCATACAGCTTGCTTTCAGAAGCTCTCAGTGACACGCGAACCCGTCCTCATGCACGCGATCACCTGTTCAATTATGGCACACACATCCACAGACTTGTCTGTAGTGTATCATACATGCTACGGGGGTAGCCTGGGCCCGTTGGTCACCGGCCACTGCAGTGTTTTCTGTACTGCTGCCAATGCTACTGCTGCTGTTGCTGCTGCTACTGTTGTTCCTATCCTCATTCATGCTGTATTATTCAGAGTTATAGCCCCTTGAAAAGACCCCGAGAGCTGTTGATCGCTGCCGCTCTACCTTAATACTTACTGTACAGGAGTAGACTTCTTACCAGGGAGTAGTAAAATGCCGGTATTTTACTACTCCCTGCTTGTCGCCGTGCTGGGAGGCTAAGCTCTCAACAATGCTGCTTTGTTTTCGGCTCTATAGTATCTCCCCCCCCCCCCCCCTCCCACACACACACACCTCTCTGCCTCTCACTCCTCCATTGCTGGTTGCATATCTTCTGTTGCATGGAATCTGGTGCATCGCTCCATTGTTTCCGCCGTTTTGCAGCGCTCGTATTTTTCTACAAATGTTTCTTCTCTCCCGAATGCATTCTTCTTCCCTTACCCCCATCATACTGTCATTACTGTGCCTCGCGCTGCTGCTGTCACAAATAGGTGCCATGGGTCGCCGGAGGTCTGCTTGCCTTACACGAAACACACCCAGTGCTATTCTTCCCCAACGCATGTTGACAAAACTGTTTAATATAATTATCGTAACTTTCCTGAGTACCGGATGAGGGAGTTGAATAAGGAAGCAGTCTGAAAAATTGACTATTTCCTCTCATTGATAGCGTTTGTGTGACCAATCCTGGTTGACCAATGTTTTCGGGGTGGGGCAGTTATTTGAATAATGGGAATATACTCGCTTCTTCTCTTTTAGTCGATATGATGTAAATCCGGCAATTTTGCCTGTTTGTTCTTCGACTGTAAATAAAGCAAACAACTAACTCAAGATAATAATTATTCAGTTAGGGAGCATCTCATAAGTTCGCATTTATTTTGCAAACGTAACGCATTTCGAATAGACTTTACCCCCCTACCTCCCCCCTCTATTCGAAAGTCTTATCGCACATTTTCTGTGTTTATCTACATGTACTGCACACATCCATGCCCCATGCTATGGTATGCTTATGTACGTGTACATGGATATGAATGTTTTGCAAGTGTGGTAGTAAATGGCATACAGTAATACCGCATCTACCGAGTACAAGTACAATCAATGACATGTACACGTACATAAACACAGTTCCTCCACAACAACTAAAAAGTCTGTACTGCTGTAAAAGCTGACCAGGTACACGGTTTGATCAGGCTGGTGGGACATTTGACACCTCTGAGTAGCGTACATGCATGCAGTACAGGGTTTGCTGATCTGCAAACACAGGTAGATCTACACCTAAACACACTCATTTGCTGAAGTGATCTAGAAAATGTGCGAACTGTCATTTTTCTATTCGAAAAGGGCGCTACCCCCCTACCCCCGTTTCGAAATGCGTTACGTTTAGAAACAAAATGCGAACTTATGAGATGCTCCCTTAGGGTTGAGTGATCATTAATGTTGCAGTTGTGCACTCGGGTCTTGCTCGCTTGTGAAGACATTTTAGTCGTCGCGTTATCAATACCTGCATACGACGAGTCATTACTAAAATTAATGACTCGTTCAGGACTATCAAACTCCTGTTCTCACAGAACTGGCTGTCGATGTTGCCCAAGCAAGTCTTCCATGTGTTCAAGTTGGTAACAATAATGCAGGCATGAAAAGTAGCTACTTTTCCTAGGATAAACATCGCAGAGTTTGCACAAAGCTTGATTCATGATACGTGCACATTGTACATGTGCTGTGCATGCAACGTTACATGTGCAAATAAGATTTGTGTTAAACATGAACAATTGGGGGGAGATGGGAGAGATGGAGGAGATGGACAGCAGAGAGATACAGGATAGCTATGCATGCATTACTTTATTACTACTACCAGTAGCCATACCGGTAGTTAGCCACAAGTACTATTGTCATGAGTGAGTTATCGTTGAGTACTCTTTCACTTGTGACTCATGCTGTTATAAAAGCTTGCTTGACATGGCTAATGAGGCTGGCTGTATACATATAGCTATTGGTAGTCGCACCGTGATATACATGTACATGTATATCCCCTCACCCTGGCCCTGCCGTTTCAGCGCTGCATATCTGCCACTCACATACCGTTTATAATTAATAATAATAATATATTAACCACCAGAGAGTCGTAAAAATACAACCCCCTGGCTCGTCTGTTCCGTCATCACTTCACTTCAGTATGGTAAACCAGATCTGGGACAGTGCATGCTGTGCAGCATTCTGAACTGCATACTGCTTGAACACTGCATGAGTACACATGGTATACAGTGTACACCACAAGCTGTACTACGCCACGTTATCAAACACGCCACACTGGCCACATGTACCCCACAGGCCATCAGCACAGCAGCTTTCTTGTCTTCACCATTTTCATATGCGAAATAGAACATTAAATGGACACGATCAGTCTGTATCCATATTAGGGTGGAATGCAAGCAGAAACCTATCAGGTTAGTGTATCAGTGTATGTCAGTGCCAGTGGAAAGTATTGTAAACATACAATGCAGGGAGTCGTCACTTTACGACTGCCTGATACAAAGCATAATTATTATCTGGTGCTGTGGCGGAAAGAGAATCTTGTGCCCATGCAGCAGCAGCATGAAAGCCAACAACAGGTGGACATCGTGGAAATGTGGGAAAGTGTAGCATAAAATCAGAAGGAGACCCGGGGCCAAACTATACACTTGTGTGCGCATGCACATCCCATTCCCTGCATCACGCTATGAGTTTGAAAACGGACTAAGTGGCACAAAGGGTCAAACTGGAAAAAGCTTCTGCCTCAGAGTACTAGTAGCTTTGAAACAGAAAGGCACGTGACAGCACTGCGGCCTAGACTTTGAGCAGTAATTTCTTTGTTCCAGTAACCCGTCCACGTCTCCTGAGGCAGTTTTGTGTAAGCGTGTAACGGATCACGAGGATTGTGCAATGAAAAGAACGCCGCTTTCTGGGCTGTGCATGCGGGGAAAAAACGCGAATAGCAGCTCATTATACCGAACATGTACATGTACATATGCACGGCAGATATGCATGTCATTGTGGGTGCCACACTACTGCATGCGCAACGCTACTGCATAATATGCATGCCGGCATGAACTAAAGTGACCAACTAATTACTTGCTTGCTCGAAAGATGAAAATGAGCGTGATGGGAAATGGGAAATGGGAATGATGTATTGGAGCATGCAGCTGCTTACTTGGACGAGGCGAACGACTGGAATGGGTTACAATAGTACTGTACGGGGACGGTGGCCAGGCAGCTGATGTCGATCTCCGATGTATCCGGCGGAACGCACACCAGCCCAGTTTTCAGTGGCTCCACGCAGAACGCCCAGACGTATGTCGACGAGCCGACCAGCGGACTGGCGGACGGCACGGTGCACGACGAGGTCTTCTTGACGCGGCGCATGACGAGTCGCTTGTCGCACACGTGACGACAGACTCCGTACTGGATCGGCGACGAGTGACCGTCAACGGCGGGCAGGCGGCATGATGAATGGAGGCCAGTTGACGTCTTCTGGCAATGCCAGTGGGAATAGATCGGCGGAAATCGTGTCGGATCATAAAAGTACGAAACATGGTCTTCTTCGGTAAACTGGTCACCGACAGGTGTGTGGAAGTACTGAGCTCCGAATCTGGTCGACTCCTGAAAGTAGAAAGATTTTTCATCTGCGGACAAGATGGTCGATGCGTGAATCGGGTCGTGGTTACCGTGCGTGTGACCCAGGGCGACCACGCGACGCGGTTCCAGCGAACACACTTGGCCGCCGGCCGCCACGGGCTGGTTGGCCGCCGTGCAGTTCGCCGTACAGACCTCTTCGAAGTGTCCAATGGGGGTCATGACGCGGCGCAGGGAGGTCTGGTCGAGACTGCGCTTGGATATGCTGTGGTGATGCTGCTGCTGCTGCTGTTGCTGGTCATGCCGCACGGACTGCAATGCATCCATACCTACAATGGTTGGACTGGCGTGGGTAACTGCCATACCCAGACACACCAGTGCTAGACCGACATGCAACAAAGCCATCTCTCTCTTGGTCAGTCTTTCTTCACTGGCCTAATTCAGAACTGGAGGGAAACTGCCTGCGGATTGACTTGGACTCTCACAACTGCAGTGTGCCTTGAGACAAGTCCCTTCTGACTTTCCAAGTGTTTACTTCACAGCTTTTATACCATTGGAGGCAGCATACACCCAAGTCATAATTCTGTGTCGTTATGACATCAAATCAACCGTACATGTACAATTGATCCCAGTGATGTTTTCGACAAAGATCGAGTTTCAAATGATCAGCTACTGGACATTGCGTGACAATATCAGCATGGATCAGATTCACCTGGGTACACCAGCATCATCAGTCTCACGGGCATCCTTTCTTTGGTATTGCGTCCTTTGTGCATTGGATAGCCGTATCTGTTTGACGTCGGGAGTAATAGCAAGAATGAATAGCCCGCATGATCACAATCACAGTACTAAACATGTTATACGACACGATAATAATTCTGATATACACGCCAGTAACCCTTTGTATGGAGTTCACATGCATTCTCTTTTTGGCTATTGTATCTCCTAACGTCTAATCACGCGCCCATATCACAATACAGTGTCACTGTGTACGGGGTCGGTGCGGGATTGATTTCTCTGTGGCCTTGCCCTTCCCCTCGGCTGCCATCGCAACATTAGACCCAAGACCTTCCCAGGAAGTGCTGGCATGTCTGTAGCATGATCAACTGTCCACACACCGGTCCAGACCGACTTCGGGGAACGAAACATCCGAACGGGCCGAGGATAGGGTTCGCGTATTCACGATACGAAACGCAGAAGGAGGCACTGAGGCAGACATTGCAGGAAGGATTGAGCTGAGGAAGTTGTTGATGCCGGTTCGGTGCAATCTTAGTTTCATCCAGCTATTCCAAGCACATTCCGAAATGCTACACGACATGCATATGGGTGCTTGTGCGTTTGACCTTTGGTCCAGTATGCCACTTGATACCGGTATGTAGTCTGAAGTAGGCTGGCAGTGATTGGGCAAACTGCTTGTCTTTGTTACTGCAATTGGAGAATAGATCGTGAGCGCTATATCGGAAGCTGGGGGCTGTGACAAAGCTAAGTACAGCACACGATCTCCGCCCACAACTCGTTTCCGGCAAATGACACCTCAACTCCAATTGCAGAGTACCACATCATACGCAAACCCCAGCACTATGTATCCACGATGGAACTAATTGCTCGAATTATCCCTTCGTCATCCGTTGCTTTAAACTCCTTAGGCGTTAGAAAACCAATCATTTGACCTCATGCAATAGCAGTAGCAGTATCTGATGTTGTTACTAAGTAGAGGAACCTCTGCTCCTCCCATGAAAGGTCACCCACTCTCTCAGTATCGCAATACTATTCCTTGAAATCAGAGTCAATGAATAAGCAACCAAGGATGAGAGGTGAGACACTAGTTATCCCACCACACCCCTCTGAATCCGACACTGGAGCAACGCGGATTCGCAGACTCTTACACCAACAGCACAGTGCGATGTGCTTGTTCCATGGAGGCGTAAACGAATCTTAACGAGCGGCGGTAGAAATGATCGGATGAATCTACAGTAGTGGTAGCGTATGTGA